CCCCCCCCCCCCCCCCGTAGAAATACAGACCTTAACAATATTCATCATTCCGTTTTTTCGAAATGTTTATGCCCTTTATTTCCGCATTTGTCGGTCTCCTTCGAGTGGAATTATGGCATTCGCTTCACCTCCGATATAAGTTGCTCCACTTTGCATTTGCCCTCGGTAGAAAATAATTTCCGTGGACATACGTTTTACTTTCGAGAATGTATCAGATGTTTATGTGTATTGGATAAAACGGTGTAATGTTAAAGTCACGCAGTGGCAATTAGTGGTCTATAACATCAAGTGGGGAAAGTATATTCCTACGGTCTACGAATCTGCCTCGGTGTTGTGGAGTCAAGTAGACGACGGGTATGGCCGAGCCACTGACCTTCCCTCCTCGCGCACCTCGGCCCCTCCTTCATCGCCCCTTTGCATCCAACCCGTGAATCACATCGCTCCTCTCCGTTCGACTCTCTCTCTCTCTCACTCTTTTTCACTCACCGGATGCACGGCGTTACAACGACCCACAAACTGAAATTTCACGGCGATTCAATTTTCAAATTCACCCACAGAGTATTCACTATTTATTCGTGCGAGAGTGAAGGTGCGCCTCGGCGATGTGACATATGTAATCTAAAATATTGAATAGAACTTTTTGCTTATGCTAATTCCTCGGGATGTTTCGGACACAGAGAGTTGACGGATGATTCGTTATTTTTGAGGATTCCGATGTTTGCACTTGTGAAGAAAAATATTTATGCAGATTTTCCATCATATTTTGGAATTAAGAATTACCGTTCATGTTAATTTTCACAAAAAAATGAGATGGGAGTTTTACAACTTACTTGAATTTTCAATTAAAGGGAGATTACTAGGAGTTTTAAAATTCGCGGGCTATTGGAGTGAGATTTATCATGTATTGAAGATCGACTATATATGTTTAAAAATGAATAATTAGTGCAAATAATATAGATAACTGAAATATAAATATAAATAATAAAATATTAAGAAAATATAAAATATAAAATATGATGAAATATCAATTATAAAATTTTTTTTTTCAAAAAACTAGCTCGTAATTGCTATTGTACATATTTTTTCAAAAATTTCGAAAGAAAAACTTCTGTAGCTCAAAAATTGAAGGCCCTGGACTGTTTTAAACATTTTAAGTGTCTATGGAGTAAACAAACAATAAACAATTAATTGTTTTGCATTAATTGTTCGTTTTTAGACCTTTAATGTATGCAAAATCTCACTCCAATAGCCCTCAACTTTTAAAACTCTTACTAGTCGCCTCAAATATGAGTATTCCGTTGCGAAGAGCTGAATTTTGAAATAATTAAGGATACTCAAGTGCTTTGGGTACTTTTTCTCCAGTGAAATGCTTTTCTACGTTTGTAGTCGATTAGAGCTTTCATTTGAGCCCCATTTAACCCTAAGTTCCCGAACATTTTACAATGATTTTATTAATTAAACTTCGCATGTCGGAATTTGAATTTCTATATTGAACCGGTAAAAAATATTTAAAAAATCTGGAAACAAATTAGAAAGTTTACTCTTGGAGGAAGATTGATAAAATATTTTGAAAATTACGAGCTTTTTTATAAATAATTTTTAGACAATCAATTTTCCATCATAAAAATTATTCGTTTGGAATCGTAACAAATTTATTCATATTTAGAATTTTATCAGAAATCGATTTCACGCCTAAAAAAATAAGGTTTCCGAAAGTTTTAACAATTTCAGTTATTTATTTATAAACAACGAATATTTTAAAAAATAATAATTCTGTGCAAAATTTAATTTGAATGACGCGGAATATTCTTGATTTTTTTTTCAAATTTCTATCACGCAATTTGATTGACAAGTTTGATGATTGAAAATTGTTGAATCTATAGTGTGGTCTGCACTGAGAGAAAAACGAACAATTTTTCAAACAAGTCTTGTTTGGGCCAACAAGATCGTTAGTTGAAAATTACCAAAATAGTACATTATATCATCAGGCGATAAAAGTATAATCACATTCGTCAGATGATACTTTTATCGCCGTGTGACATACAATATTTGTATGTAACACAACAAACAATAGCGAAGCGAGTGTGACATACAAATATTGTCACACTCGCTTCGCTCGGTTAAATTGCGGTTTTCGGGCTCAATGACATAAAAATAATTCTTTGGTTCAAATTTGAAAGTCTCAAACATGAATAATTGCTCCGATTCCAACAACAACGAAATAATTGGCTTAAGAGACGGCTCATTCATACAAGACGAAGCCTTCGAAGAATAGAAGGAAGTTGATCAATAAATTTTTTGTCCCTAAGTCACAAGATTGCTGTCATATCATTATTATTATTTCATTTAAGAATATTAATCTTTTGTCTGTGATTATTGAATAAGCGAACCGACAAACTACTATCCCTCGTTTCATATAAAACGAGCATTTGCCGGGAGATAAATCCGTATGGGAGCATCGAATAACGACAAAGTAGTGCTAGAAATTACCTTTCTTTCTTGCACAGAGAATAAATTGTTTTTGAAAGGACTAAATCTATTTTTACAATAAAAATTGTCAAACCCAGCGTATGCTTCGCATATTTCACACACGGCGAGAAATATTCAATAAAAATTAGGCATCTTTTCCGTAATTCCGGAGCGAATTGTGGTTGTAGGAAATTTTACGGAACTGTCACCGAATTTTTCCAGAGCGTTCTATAATTTTTATCTAAATCTTCTGCGAAAAATTACGATACCGTGACTTAAATTTTCTGAGTCGATTCCGTAATCCGTGAGCGAATTGTAAGTTCCGTAATTTTTACTGAACATTTCTCTCCGTGCAGCAAAAACGAATGTCTGAATTTCACACACCTTTTGTTGACATTTTTCAGACACTCAAAAACGTCGCAATAAAATTAAAATTTGTTTGAATTTCAAACATGAGTTAAGATGTTTGGGCACCGGTTGGTCTGAAATTTCGACGCATTTTCATTTTATTCCGACGTTTTTTAGTGTCGGAAAAATGTCTACAAAAGGTGTGTGAAATTCAGACATTTGTTTTTGCTGTGTTGGCACAAAAAATCCTCTTTTGATAATTTTTAACAAACGATTTTCTTGGTACAAGTGAGAATTGTTTGAGAACTGTTGTTCTCTCAGTGTGTACCAAACTGTAAAAAATACTTCGACATCCTAAAAACTGTGGAATGTATTGACTTGATTTTTTCGAAGATTTACTGAATAAGTGAACTGAAATTTCTTGTTTCCATCGATTTTCTTATCAAACTATAGGCCAATGAATGAAACACGTGATTTCTCAATGACGCAACTCTCTGAAATTGCAGTATAAATATCCCTTGTCAAGAACATATCAAAATGTTTCATAAGGTCTCCCTAAATTGATGAGTATTGTATCGTATTTTGACATGTAGAGTGGGTGCATCCCGTGGAATTAATTAAATAATTTCCTGAGGATAAACACGGCCAGTGTTCCAATCGCGACCGCCCAACAATCAAACCTTGAATTGATCGCCCTGTCGTATTGTGTTCCGTCATCAATATACAGAGCAATGAATCGGAATTTAATGACAATGATGATGCATTTGATTGGAGTGATTTTTGTAATTTCGGCCTTGTCCAATCCATTTTCTCTACTTTCATTTCCATTCCTCTTTTATCGATAAAACATTCAATTTTTTTATTTTCTTCGCAGAGACCCTGAGCAACGATGAGTGGTAGAGCATCGCGAACGTGGGAGAAAAGCGACAGCAGGGATCATGCCTGAGTTTATTGGTTCGCGTGTGTAAAAAAATATACGAGTGAAGCATAAAAGAGAGAGGAGAGTAATTGTAAAAAATTCAAAGGCTAATGGCGATTCGCGAGATATATGTATAGATGATATATATATGTAACGTGAATATATATATATATGAAGTTGAGAAAAAGTGTCAAGTGTAGAGGGATAACACGGAGGGATGATAAATAAGTGAATTTTCGTGCTCGAGAAAAGTGCAACTTCCTCTCTCGTCTATTCCAAAGAGTTCTCAACTCTAATTTATCTTTCAAACTGAATTTGCTTGTCACAAAAGGTGGTTCATTATTCAACTTAAGGTAATCACGGGAAAATTCGTGCGGATGCACGGACGCGCGTGCAAACGCGTGACTATACAAGGTGCGTCAGTGTACGCATTTATTTGTGTTTGTGAATCCTCGTGACTTGGGAGGATTTAACGCGGGAAATTCGTGTTCTTCCTGCAGCGGATGACGTCATTACCGGTGAGTTGACAGCTTTTGGGGATTATTATTTTTAAGGGGTTAGGTGCGTCGTATTCATAACAAAATTTACGGTTTTTGTCTTGTATTTTAATTTTCGTTGCAAATGGTTTAGAATGTTATGAAACGTGAAAAAATGAAGTTTTTAGGGTCATTTCTGTATGTATGCATGTATGTATCTGATAACTTATTTCAAACTTTCTACAGATGAAGAATACTCTTAGGTCAAAAGTATACACTGAGGAGAATTTAGCAAAAATATTAGAATGCTCACGTCTTTTGGTCAGAACAGGAATCCTCAGTGTTTTCGACGTTTGTATAAGGTAAAGAACTGGAAATAATAAAATAATATACGCTGTTGGTTGAAATTTCCGCTACACTTTTTGGAAATTTGTATCACGTTATAGCTCCACTGGAATTTCAAGGAATTTCGTCATTGGAAATTCAAAATTTTATGGGAAAATCATTGAAAATTGTAAATTTCAGTTGAATTATTCCATGAAAATTGGTAACATTCAGCTAATTTTTAAAAAAATTTTTTTTTTAATTTTTTCTTTTCGTATACCCTTTCGGGTCTTTACCATTTGTTCCCTTCCCACCCCCCAACCCCCTGTACCGCATTCGCCGAAGGACAAGGGAAAATCTCATTTGAGGGAAAAACCTGCCCAGGTACAGTCGTCTTTTGCGAAACTCCCGCTCGACTCTGAAACCGTGAGATTTAGAGTGTCACCAATTTTGGTCCCCCCAGTCGGGAATCGAACCCGGGTCACCCGCATGCCAATCCCACACTCTAACCACACAGCCATCACCGTCGGTAAATTCAGCTAATTATGATAAGGAAAATTCAGCTAATTATGTTCTTGAATTACCACTTAATTGAAATTTCAGCGTCATTTGGTAATGACCATGCATATTTTGATAAAAAAAATCGTGTAATCTTTGGAAACCTCGTTTTCCTACTGCTAAAAAATTTGGAATTCCCTGGAATGTCCAGTGGAAATTGAATTTTCGTAATTACCCACCTCAGTTGAATTTCCAATAAAAACATGAATATCCATTACTTAATTGCGCTAATTTGTCGAATTAATTGGAAATTCAAGAATATATTTGATTACTATCCATTTCCATGGAATAATTGAAATAAAATTGTCCGTTTCCATCAACTGATGATTTTTTAACGACGAAATTTCTTGAAATTTGCGTAAAACTGTGACTTGATGAAAATGTTTCGACATTTCAACATTCTCAACAATCAAATATCATAATTTTAATCCTCGTGTGTTAAATTTCTAGTATTTTGGGTCATGGTTTTCACTGAGCGCCAAATAGACAAAAAAAATACAAATGACAACATAACTCAGCCAAATCACTTAAACTACATATTCTAAAGCACCAGGTGCTCATCTTCACATGCATTTTTGTCCTCTCAAAACAACCAAACCCAGCAATTTTAACATTCTTTTGGTTTATACGATATTATCACGTCGATGGATTCAAGAAATTGTAATATCATCAACTAATTCATATTTTTTTCAACCTCTTTTCGNATCGATTTTTCGCCGAAAATATTTGAGCAGAAAATTTTTGGTTCGCGCAGAAAAAAAGCATGTAAAAAGCTCATAATTTTGAGCTATTGACCGACTCATTCTGAGTACCCTGGCCGCCCAGCTTGACGGAGCTCTTTTCGATTAATCCAAAGGAGTGGATTTTTATTTCGATTAAATACTTTTCTTTATCGTTCATACTTTTGCAAATATCAAAAATTCAATGAAGCTGAAACTAGCAGAATATTCGTCAGCGGAAATTTCAATTTGGGGGATATTTAAGGGTATGAATGTTTTTCAAGTGCGAAAGAGTTTGTACATTACTTAAAAACATTTGTACACCCCTAGATTCGTCTAAGACAAATCTTCTGCTGTCGAATCTTTTGCTAGTTTTAGCTTCATAAAAATTCAGTCCACAATTAATAGCAAATCAAAAACGTAAAAAATTCGGTCTGCATCAAATTACGTGGATAAACCTACGATTGCCTAGAATTTTCCACTTTTTTCCTCATACAATTATTCTCGTTTTTTTTATCCTCGAATATTAGTCATACGAAGCGTGACTTAGTCAACTCAGTTCACAACGTGCCCTCGTGTCGCAGACTTTCATGTGTTAGTATAATTGATGTAGGTATTCGATTGTTATGAATGAATCATACATCCCACATCACCCATGTTAAAAATAATAATGACAAAAAAAGGGTCGTTAAATTCATAAAAACAAGTGTAAAAAACCGGAGAATCAATCTTCCATCGTCTCACTGATTCAAGAAAAAAACACTCCTCAACGTCTCACTCGCAAGAAGCCGTCTCAGGGTTACAATTTGTTTTCCCCCAGATTTTAATTAAGATTGCGAAGGTGGAAGAGGCAGCACGACGATTTAAACTGAATTATCGATATAAATGAATGGACTTGGTAATTAACATATTTATGGGAGACTTCCTTTCGCTGTAGGATAAACCGAGGTCGAGGATCCTTCCGGGTGATGTAACGGTGTGGCGCGAGTGGAGGGGGAGAAAACGAAGACTCAGGGTGACGTAATACATTTGGGTGTCTCCACGGCGCCAGAGTTCAGTATCCTAGCACGAGGCCTCCCCTTCAATCCCGGAATCAACCCTCAGCCCTGCTTTTTCCTTCTTGCCTCGAATTAATGGGATACTAATACACGGAGGAAAAAAAGTTTCTTGTTTCCAGCGAAAATATGTGAATTTCAGAAGTCGGTTGTAATAGACTGTAGCAAGCAAAAAATCTTGGAACGATAAGAAACTTTATTAAGGTATTTATGGCGGGGTAGGTATGTAGGAGGTGAGGCGGAGGGGAATTTATTGTTCTCTCGCAGAAAGCCCATCGTTGAACAAAAAAACGATATTACAATCACAAATTTTCAATCTATTTCGACCATTTTTGTGTTCGAAATATTTTTTTAATAACTTTTCTATTTTTTCCCACATATTTCAAGCCTTCTTTTATTTTTCTAGCTTGTCAAGGTATATCCTTTCTTAAATCAGAACTTTTTAGCTGATTTTCAGGATCATATCATGACATTAATAATAAAAACACTCATTTAGGCCTGTTCACTTGTTAAATTTTCGAACTGTGGATTCACTGTTGAAACTTTTGTTTGAAATTTCCGATACACTTTTTGAAAATTTTTATCGAATTTAATTACCACTGAAATTTCAAGGAATTTCGTCATTGAAAATTCAGAATTTTGTGGAAAAATCAAAGAGAACTGTAAATTTCAGCTCCATTTTTCCCTGAAAATGAATAGAAAACAAGAAAATTCCGGTAAATATATTCTTGAATTTTCAGGACAGTGACACTGAATGCGATTTAGGGGGAACAAAATCATGAAATTTGAAATTTCACTAAAAATTCAATGTAATTTGACACTGAATATTCATACTAGATTGGAAATTTGAATACATTAGAGAATTCTCGTCTTTATGCTGCTTAAGGGTGCCAAGTGAATTTGGCGATGACCTTGAAAATTGACATTCACCAACAAAGTTATAATTTTTTAAATTAATAGTATTAGACGGATGGTGAACATCGGTGACAATTTTAAAATTTTAGAACTTATGGATATCGAGAAATTAAATAAACAAAATCAGTCTTATACACGGCCTCTTATGGAGTTTTGATTAAATTGAACGTTTCAACCCCCTAGGAACTCAAGAAAAAATTGAAAAAATTTGAAGATATGGGGAATGATGTGTTCAATGTGATGGCGACAAAAAACAATGGGGTACCGGGTTGAATAAGAGAGATATTTCAACCCGCCGTACCCATTTGATCCCATGTTTTCTTGAGGTTCTCGAGAAATAGAGGATTTTCCGCATTTATTTTCTCGATGTCTAGTTCCGGTTGCGGATTTGAAATTTCATCGGATGGATGAATACATACTTCTCCAATGATGGAACGAAAGGAAAAATTTTTTCATCACGCTGTGCGAAAAAGTAACTTTTTAGGGACGCTTCGCGTGCCTAAAACGTCCCTTTTCCACACATTGTGATGAAAAATATTGTTCGATACTCGTGAGGAAAGTGTTTTTTGGCTCGTGGGAGGTTTATAGCACGAGCCGAATGCTCGTGCTATAAACCTCCCACGAGCCAAAAAACACTTTTCCGCACTCGTAACGAAATATACTATTTTGAATCTTTTCTCACATTTACGTGGCACCCTTAAAATTCTGGACTTTTACTGGATTTTCAGTGAAACCGGAAATTTCATTTTTTTTTCTAACAGTGTTTTTCAAAATTATCAATGTTCCCCTGGAAACTGAAACTGTTTCCTCTCTGTGTAACAGTACTGTAGAGTATCTGGATGATCTCCATTTCCAATTGCCACTGAATTCCAGAATATATACACCTCAATTTTTACCGAATAATTGAATTGAAATTTAATTTCCATCGAATTCCCCATCAAATTAAAATTACGAGTAAATCCATGGCATATTCGATTATACAAACGCAAAATTCCCCAAAAATTTTCAACCGTGTATCGCAAGCGTCATGAGATCCCCTTGAATTGATGAATACATTGTATTTTCGACCGAAAAAGAGCGACATACCACCGAATTAAATCCATAATTTCTTCACACTAAACACGTCAAGTGTTTCAATCAGAATGACTCAAAACCGCCCTTTAAATTAATTATTCATCCCTCCGACGTAATCTACGTACGTGTGGAGTGAAAACGACAAGTCAGGGTGACGTAATATATTTGGGTGTCTCGCGACACAAGAGTTCAGTATCCTAGGTCTCCCTTCACCCCCCCCNGACCACACAACCCCTCAGCCCCTCTCGTTTCCTCGACGTCTCGAGTTAATGTGATACTGTTACAATTGAAATTTTGTCTCCCGTCTCAATTATAGGACTTCATCGACACCCATACCCCCCCATGACGTCTGAGGATTGTTGTCAGTCCAACAGGGTTGACTGTTGAATAGGATAGG